CTGCTGCTGCTGCTGCAGTAAAATGATCTTCGATATTTTCTAACTGCTAGATAGTTTTCATTTATATATTAACTGATCTGAATGGCTAGAATTTTCGAAAGTTCGCACCCTCCGGATTTGATCTATTGAATGCTAGTGCCATCATTTCCGGCATTTTTCCACTTTTAATTTTGAAAGTTCCATGCCTTAATTCGCTAACAACTAACAGAGAGATCTGCTGTTTGGTGATGCTAATTACCGGTGCTGGAATGTTGATTCGTGATGCAAACAGATTTTCTACAAATGTTCTCTATATCTGTTTGATTCGTTAAGCAATTTTTCAGTGCTGCCATTATGGGACAATACGGCAACTGTTCTCTCTGACACTTCTTTAGGCTTTTGAAGGCCTCTGTCTTCCATCGGCGATTATGATTTAAGAGATCCTCCTTCAACCACGTTTAATGTGTCTGCAAAGAAGGAAGTACCCTCCTTCCCCTTTTAAGTCCTCAGTAAACAGCAGCCGAGGAATGCTGAATTCTGGAGTAATTACAGCATGATGGATCACTTGCTGGTTCTGAATTAACTGTTGGAATTTGCGAAGTAGCACCAATTCCCTCTGTCTCCTATTCATCGATTATGAAAAAAACATTCGATGACGCTGAGCTGAATACTGTGATGCGGCCTCAGGTAGCTGGAGCTATTGACGAGGAACGTGTGGAAATCGTTCAAGAAGCAAGCATAGGCTGCTCGACAAGCAAAGCACTTTTTTCCCACTTCAAATCGCATATTGACCGAAAAAGTATCAAAGCAAGTTGATCGCCTTTTGCACATCGCCCAAGCTTTTCACCCCCTCCCTCTAAATAGTATTTCGGAAATTGGACTAGAAAGGTGGTCTGAAGATAAACGGTGAGCAGCTAAAACATCTGCGCTCCGCAGATAGCACAGTTCTTACTGCTAACAACTCTCGCGAAAAAACGAAATGGGCCTAAAAACGAAAAAAGTCAAAATGAAGTTAGTGCGCCTAAAAATCAACCAGTCGAAAACGAAAGTGATGCAAAGTCCTGCTGTACCCGCGGCAAAATTGCAGACAGACAGTGGAAACTTGGGAGATGTTGACCGTTACGTATACCTCGGATAAGAAGTAAATATGCGCCAAAATTTCTACCCAGAGACGAATGGCTCCGATTAGAGCAAATTCCACGGCATTTTCCATGTCCTCAAAGTGCCGAATCAGAAGCACCGTTCAATACTGCTTTGTTGAGGGCTGTAAAATATGGATAACAAATGCGGTCAATAAAAAAAACTGAGAAGAAAGATGGCAATGACAGAGAGAGTGATGAAGCGAGGATGCTTGGCGTATCTCTCCAGTGTGCAGAATACTACTGTGCGCACGCAAGCAAAATTCGGTGGGCAAGACATGTGGCCTGCCTTGCCGACAATCGTTAAACAATGTGTATCAGTGATTGGCATCCAAGTGAAAGTAAGAAACCTTTCATGCGACCTCCGAAAAGACACATTAACTTTGTATTCTACGCATACATCGAACAGGCTTAGGTACTAAATGGAGGCAAGCAGCTTTGGGTTGAACAGGCAACATAGCCACGCTCGGCAAATGGAAGCGTCGTAATAGTATCAGTAACAAGGATACTCACACCGACAGCCCAAAAAATGCTGACATATTATATATAAATATGTGTATATGCATACATACATATACATACATATACATGTATATATACACATATACATATACATATATATATATATATATATATACGTGGAGAAAGTTAGAAAATGTATGCATGAAGACAGATGAAAATAGAAACACAACATACGCCGGCACACAAAAACAAAGAGACGCCGTGTAAAGGCATGTCCCAATTATAAAAACATTTCTACGAATCGACGATGAACTTTTGTTTCAAAGATCACGCGTAATTTTAGATTCACAGGTACTAGATGGTTGCAAGGCTCTACAAATGATTTCAGTTTTTCCGTAAACTAAAGAAATTCGACTACCTAAGCCTCCCAGGTTCGGGTTTCCTCACCTAACAAGGGTCGGTACCTTTTGCACAGTATTCTTTGAAAAGAACTAAAACTGCAGAATACCTATTGGACCATCGTGCGGCACGTGAGATTTGAGCACCTAACGAATCGGCAGCGCAGCCAGCACCCGAGCAAATTCTATTGAATTCGTATGGGTCGCTGAATTCCACGTTACCCTTGATCACAAAATACACAGGTGGTCCAACAGACAGGAAGCGATCCATCGACTTGAAATGCGAAAATACATAGGAATCCTGCAACTTATACATATACCTCGTGCTGGTACGCTTCAAAAGCACCGAAGTGCACAAACCTAGACTGCCAGTACTACTTCCAAAGGCTAACAACGCATGCTCATCGACGGCAAGCATTTTCGAAGCAGCATGAAAATGCCCGAGTCTCTAACATACTCGTAAAATGAGTTCTCAAAAAACGCGACGCTTGATAGCAGCACACCTCTGGGACGGCCATTTTTTGATCGAGGCCAAGTGGAATGTTGCCCAGCACTGCAAATGAACTGCTCAACCAACCAGCAAATAAAAGCACCTGAAACAATTAACAGGAATGATAAAATACAACTACAGCCATTTATATGACCAGCAGACAATGCAAGTAACATCAGCACTAGCAGAACGAACTTCGGCCACAAATCAAAACAATTGATTTTCTAAAGTGAATAAAATTTTTTTAAAAAAAAGCGATGAAAAAATTTCTAGGTCTTTACATAATTCCAGGTGCTCACCACCAAAATTCGCACGTATTTTGACAAAAGAAATGGAGCATAATAATTGCTAAATAAATACAACATGTAGCCATCGTTGCTCATCACCTCCACTGCTGTTATTCGCTTACAACAACACACTTCTGGTCGCCCGTCCTGCAAAATAAATTGTAAAATTTTCAATGTAAGTTTCAAAATTGGAACTGCGTAGAAACAGACAAAGAAACCTCTTCGCGTTGTACATCCAAAACAAATACTGCGAGAAAGCAAGTGATCTGGAGGAAGAAATTGAAGAATATCGCGAGTGCTGCATAAAGCGAAAAAACCTAAAAATGTTCAGCATTTTCCAGAGCGCAAATGTCCTAGCGATGTGCTACGGACAGAAAGAGGGACGTGCTAGAACGCGATCATGCGCACGACAAGCTGCTTTGTGTTGTACTCGAAAAAGAATTAATAAAAATCACTTTAACAGCAGGCATCGACGACAGCGCTCCAACGAAAAAACATAGGCACTCGGAAAACGATGAAAGAAGCATAGACGGAATCACTTCACCGCTTATATGTGCTATTCGAAGATATAAGGGTTCGGACAGCGGCTCTTCTGCCCTCTGAAATAACAACTAATGTCCTTCGTGCATATTAAGTAAACCCAGGCTGCAACACGCCAGATTTGTCGATGTTATCATGCGTTTTTGCGCTAACCTTCTAGATTGTTAATCGTAGGAATGGTTCCTGCGCTGCATTTAAAACTTGGGCCCATATTGGACGTATTTTATTCTTTTTTCGCATGCAGAGGTAAAGATTGTCGGCTGGGATGAAGCATGCATGATTATTAATTTTTTACACGAAACTCGGTCGTCCTTCCAGCTCGCTCACTGGAAAAATGCAAATTTGAAGGAAGCCGGAAGAGGATTAGGAAGTCTGCAAAAGGCACTCGCTTTTGAGTTTGCGATAAAATTATTTGTCATGTCTGCTTGTAGGGAATTTCGCCTCCAAGCTGAATTAAGCCCAAGTGAATATACAGAACATCTCTGAAAAAGTTCCAGATTCGTGGCTTGCCAGGCAGGCGAAACAGTCACTTCGCTAAAAATATCGCTGAAGTGCCCTAAGTCATAGTGCAAGCGCGAATCAAAACTCACGTGTACAATTTTCCATATGATCAGTAAATATTTTGACAAAAATTCAGCAATTGTTTCCGCACTAGTTTTCGAGTTGTCAACTGCAAACTTTAACATGACCGTACACACGGAATAAGTGCGTACGGTAACTGAATTTGAAATCTTTAGCTCATGCATGGTCAGAAGATATCCATGCAACTCACAGCTTTCTGTCTTGTTCACGAAATCGTTTCCCGCCAAAGAAATTTGTACATTTTTTCGGGGGTCGATAAGCGAGATCCGGGCGCATGTGAGCGAAGACTATAAAAAGGGAAGTTGACAAATAAGGTGGGAATATGCCTCCAAAATTTCAGCCTTCCGACTTTTTTGGGTGCTGAGTTGAAAGTGAACAATTGAGTTCATTCGTTTCCGAATACACACACACACACACTTACACGTACCTCTTAATAATATGCGTTTTTACTCACTGTAGCAGTGCTACAGCGCTGCACAGCAAAAATCAGAATTATTTTCACGCATCACGTTCTCTTCGAACTTTCCACTCCCAGTGCTGTTCGACTTATCAGCGAGAAGTAATGCAGCTGAGAAGCAGCCACATGTCATGTGCAGTTGTACCCATTCAATTTCACACTTTGGCTGGTACCTGCTCTCTCCATCACATATATACACCTCCTCTTTTGATGGCCGGCTTCCCAAGCGTTCCTTAGACAGACAGTGAATCCAGAGTTTATTATTTATCGGTGAAACAAATAACGCATTTTGTTGGACAAATCTGACTCTCCGAAAGCAGTGCTTGTTGAAAGCGCAGTCGGAGGCACGGTATGCAGCGAATGGTGAACATGCGCGACGTGTGCGACGTTCGTTCTACAGCGCAAACTACAGGGGAACACCTCCTGAGTTTTTATAACAAAATAACTTCATAAAATCACAAAAAAGCGCGAGCCTAGAAATATGAATGACTTACCTGATAAGCCTGTACAAAAATAAAGATATTATCGACGCCAACAGCGAGCACCAGGAATGGTTGTACTTCGAGGATAATCATTGATGCTGGAATGCCGTAGAACGCATATAACCCAATTGACGACGTAACTGATAACGCCACGATCAAAACGCCCGCAACACCAAGCATCAGTTTGGAGTGAATGAGCAGTGTGGCCAGATTGTTACCGGTTACCTGAGGCAAGCAAATTGATAAAACAACCCTTATCTAGAAGCGATGAATTTGAGAAACATCCCTCTCACAGAAAGGACAACTGAATCCAGGCGTAGTGCAACGCTCACCAGGGTATGAGTCACGGCGTCGGCAACAACTACCTTAGTCCCTCAGGTTGCACTACACAAATGCCCGACTTTTGCCGGACACCGTCTTCCATTGGATAACACAGCAAGGGCCTTTTACATTTTGTAGGAGCTGCCGAATGCAAAATAACGCGCAAACAAAGGTAAATTATAGTTTATCACACCCTCAGCTAGTAGCAATCACAGACCAGGAAGAAATGCGCACTTTTGAAAGCAATGTACAGTTACAGGTGCATGACAAGAGTCAACTCCTCTTCGTTGCAGCGTCATATCTTTCACTATGCTTTTTGCGCTTTGTAAAAGCAGCACAAAACGCATATTATCGCACCTCTGCCTGTATGTGTTTGTTTGTGCCCAAGTACCGAGTGTATTTTGTCCTGTACTTTCAATTCCAGAACCATGGAAGCTGAGAAGCTAAAACTTTAGCAGAATGTTCCTCGCCCATTTGCGTCTCCGTAAATTTAATTTCAGCCCTCATACATCCCAGTACCACGTACGACTTCACGAAAGTTCTGGCGAAGAAAATTACTATTTCGAGAATCATAAAACCTAGGAGGCTGAAATGTTACAGTAATGTCTCCTGCCCATCTTCGATCCTGCAAATTCGAATTTAGCTTTGACGGAGGCCTAGGTCACACGTACGACTCCGTGAAAGTTCTGATGGGAAAAATTATTATCTCGGGAGCCAGAAGGGCTAGGAGGCTGAAAAGTTCAGGAGGATATCTCCTACCTATACAAGAGTCTAGTAAAAGCAAATTTATCTCTCAATTATGAAGTGCCTTACGCGTGATCACATGAAAGTTTTGGCGCGGAGGCTACTTGGAAGCAAGAAAACTAGGAGGCTGAAATTTTGAAGCGATTTTCGCCGTCCAAGATTTCAAATTCAGCATTCTCATAAGTTTGAGTTTCACGTACCAGTAATTTTTGATGGGAAACTTCGCAGTTTAGGCACCAAGCAGCATATCGGCTACTTTTGCACAAATTAAAGTGCAAAGATCAACTATCGCCTGCTAATCAGGTTAAGAGCTTCGGCACAAAGTCTATTCAGTATGCTTGAAACTGTCAGAAATATGGATCTCTGCCAGCCTCACACCACAGTGAAAGAAATGGGTCCAAATTTGCAAGGGTCAGGCAGAAATAAAACAAAAAATGTTGCCCGCAGAGTAGAGAATACACATTGCACGGAAAGCAGAGCTCGGTATTTTAAAAAAATTCACCTGATACTGTCCCAGCGCAAAAGCAACATACCCAAACATGAACATATAACTTATTAATATTGTAAATATATCGGACTGACTTTCTCGGTCTATTTCATCCTGGAAAATCTGCGCCCTTTTTTAAACATAGGGTTATGAATCTTTTTAAAAGCAAAGACAACGTCAAGCAAGAAATAAACTAAATGATATTTAACCTGCAACGACTGCGTACTGAAAGAAAAATGAAAAATTGGCCAACGCACGGGCTGCCCGTGCGAAGATGCGTTTTTTGCATGGTTCCCCG